CCTACCCCTGGAAGTGCCCAGAGGGGACAATTGCTGAGCTAATTGTTGGCCAAGGAAAGCCTAATCCCATCACCAGACTTGCCAAGGGGTCCAGACATGCAAAGGAAGTTCTATTGTACTTTGGGTGGTGGGACATCAGAGGTGTTTGCCTATCCAAACTTATACCTGGGTCTTGCCCTGCCATGTCTGCTTATGCTAATCTTGTACCAAGGACTTGTCTGGACATGTTTGCCAAGGTTAAACTAGTGTAACCCCTGTCTAAAAGGTAAAGGGACCATTAGGTCCAGTCGTGGACGACTCTGGGGTTGCGGTGCTCATCTTGATTTACTGGCCGAGGGAGCCGGCGTACAGCTTCCGGGTCATATGGCCAGCATGACTAAGCCGCTTCTGGCGAACCAGAGCAGCGCACGGAAACGCCGTTTACCTTCCCGTCGGAGCGGTACCTATTTATCTACTTGCACTTTGAGATGCTTTCGAACTGCTAGGTTGGCAGGAGCAGGGACCGAGCAACAGGAGCTCACCCCATCGCGGGGATTCGAACCGCCAACCTTCTGATTTGCAAGCCCTAGGCTCTGTGGTTTAACCCAGTGTTCCCCAACCTCGGGCCTCCAGCTGTTTTTGGACTACAATTCCCATCATCCTTGACCACTGGTCTTGCTAGCGAGGGATGATGGGAGTTGTAGTCCAAAAACAGCTGGAGGCCCAAGGTTGGGGAACACTGGTTTAACCCACAGAGCCATCCGCGTAATCCCTGTCTACCCCTCCCCTTTCGTGACATGTCAATGATGTAGCAATGATGTAGTGATGATGCTTAATGAACTGTATGCTGGGATAAGATAGAAACTTTTTAAAGTCCTTGTCACCCCATCCTCGGGGTTCAAAATTCCTCTTTGAACCTGTTGCGCAATAAACTTTGGTCTACAGCTATTTGCTCCGGTTGGTAGCTGGACTCCTTCCTTTATTCCGCAGGGACCTGCGGGCGCTGCCCAACCAGCTGAGGGACTGAGCAGCCTCACACCTAGATTTTTCCATAACAAAGGAAATTGGCATGAGAGTTGTGGCATAAATGTAAAAATAATTATTAGAACAATAGATACCGTGGTGGCTTTCTCCACTTGAAGCAAAATCGGTGAAAAAAATAAATATGAGGAATGACTGGGTAACTTATAAAGACTTATTAAAAGAGGTAGATCAAGATTTAAAATTAAGACAGTATGAAGAAATAAGAGGATTAATAACCAATTGGCTGTAATATCACCAGCTTAATGAAGTATTTAAGCTGATAAAAAGAAAGGTTTTTCATATAAAACCCCCCGATTCGAAACATAGGTGTTGGAAAATTAAACAAAATTACTTTCTAAAATGTATAAACTTCTATGGGATTGGCAAACAGAAGATGAGCAGGTCAAATCAGTGAAGATACACTAGGCGAGGATTTTGGTTATAATATTGAATTAGCAGTGTGGGACAGATTATGGATTGCAGGTCCGAAATTTACAGCACGCTATACTATTTGAAAATTATGTACCTTTTGTATTTAACTCCTAGTAAATTAGCTAAAATATATAAATCAAATTATAATATGTGCTGGAAATGTAAAGAGAAAGAGGGCACCTTTTATCACAAGTGGTGGTCATGTAAAGTTGATAAAAGCTTTCTGGGAAATGATACATTATGAGTTGGGGGGAATGTTGAAAATAACCTTTTCTAAGAAACCAGAAGCTTTCGTTTTAGGAATTTTAGGTGTGGAGATCCCAAAAGACCAGGAGAAATTGTTCGTGTATGTGACCACAGCTGCCCGAATGTTGCTGTCCCAGAGATGGAAAGAAAATTCAGTTCCGACCAGAGAGGAGTGGCAGTTAAAACGAATCAACTATGCTGAATTGGCTAAACTCACAGGAAGAATCAGGAGGCAGGAAGAATCAAACTTCAGCAAAGAATAGGGGAAAGGATAACATGTAATTGAAAAATTATTGCAAACAACTATACTTATTAGCAGGTTTGACAGAAGACTTGGAGCAAAAATCTGAACCATGGACTGATTAAGGATTTGTAAGAACTGGAGTTAGTGATAAGATGCAGAATGAAAATGTAAACAAAGATTCGCAAAAGAAGGGAAGGGAAGCCAAAGTGGATATGATATCTGTATTTTGTTTCTTTTTTGCTGTTATGGTATGTAAAACGGAAAGCGTAAAAATATGCAGTGGCACCTCTGGTTGCGAATGGGATCTGTTCTGGAGACCCATTCACAACATGAGCATGTCACAATTCGCCGCTTCTGCGCATGTGCGTAACGTCATTTTGCACATCTGCACATGCGCGAGCGGCGAAACCCGGAAGTAACCCTTTCTGGTACTTCCAGGTCGCCACAGGACGCAACCTGAAAAGATTTAACCTGAAGCAAACGTAACAAGAGGTATGACTGTATTTTTTTAAAAAAAAAATAACACACGGCTAAGTGCAAATGCATATTTTTTATTTTTAGCATCAAGACGAGCCTGCTGGATCAGGCGAGTGGCCCACCTAGTCCAGCATCCTGGTCTCACAGTGGCCACCCAGATGTGGGAAACCAGCAAGCAGGATTCGAACACAAGAGCCCTCTCTCCTCTTGTGGTTTCCAGCAAGTGGCATTCAGAAACACTGCTGCCTCTGACTATGGAAGCAGAGCTAGCAGCCCTCTCCTCCTCCATGAATTTGCCCAGTCCTTTTTTAAAGCCATCCTAGTTGGTGGCCATCCCTGCCTCCTTTCGTTGTAAACAAAAATTGCCCTTTTCCCTTATGGGGTATCCAAGAGCCCATATAGAGTCCTTATGTAGGTTCCCTATTGGTAGGAGAAAATAACAGAGGCCAAGCAGAGAATATTGAGAAGCAAAGCAGCTAGTAAGCCTGATCTTTATTGATCTGTTGCAACAGGGTGCTCCCCTCACATGCAGGAAAGGAGGAGGACCCAGAACCAAGGTGTGCCCGACCTTATATAGACATTTTAAATTCCCTGCCCTGGAGCTCAAGACCACCCCTCCATACATCATACATACATCCCAGAAGGGGTGTAAACCCAAAACCACCCCCAAGATACATCATACCTACATCACAGAAAAGGCGGTCTACAGCAGAAATCTGAGTGCGTTGTTTACCTCCTGTCTGGCAGGTTACCTATTAATACTCACTTGACTGGATTACCTGGGGAGCCTGGCCAGTCTTTTGTAATGATAAATACTAAGTTCCTAAGCCAGGTCACAGGCTCACACCCTATTCAAACACAGACATACCCTTAAGACAGGATTTGTGAAGGAAAAGACAATGGGGAGGCTTTTCCATTTTCCTTTGACCTTGCAGAGAAAACATTTGGTCAGTTTGGGACAGTTTGGGAATCAAAAACTGTTTCAGGTTGGAAGTTCCACAGTTTAACTACACTCTGCGCAAGGAAGTCCCTTCTCTTCCCTGTCCTGAATCTTCTGACCGTTCAGTAACATTTGGTTATTCACAGCATCACAGTGCCAAAGAAACAGCAACTCACCTCCACGCGCAGCCGTTGCCTTCCAGATGGCCGCTCGCCTCTCCCCCAGTTGCGAATTTGGCAGGTCCCAGTTGCCTGCCTCTGCTAAATATTTGGCGGCCCACGTGGCACCGTCGCCTCCCAAGCAACCTGGGGTTCCAGTGGCTTCTCTCCTGGTTCCTGATGCATCCCAGTCAAACCAGTCCGATGACTTCATGCTCAGCGCCAGAGTGCTGCCATGTTCTGAAAGGACCCAAAATATCCCACTGCAAAAGGGGAAAAAAGCAGCCATTGACCGTCAGCCTTTGAGCATCACTGCCCTACAGCAGGGGTCAGCAAACTTTTTCAGCAGGGGGCCGGTCCCCTGTCCCTCAGACCTTGCTGGGGGCCAGACTATATTTTGCAGGGGAAATGAACAAATTCCTATGCCCCACAAGTAACCCAGAGATGCATTTTAAATAAAAGCACACATTCTGCTCATGGAAAAACACCAGGCAGGCCCCACAAATAACCCAGAGGTGCATTTTAAATAAAAGGACACATTCTACACATGTTAAAACACACTGATTCCCGGACTGTCTGGGGGCCGGATTGAGAAGGCAATTGGGCCAGATCCGGCCCCCGGGCCTTAGTTTGCCTACCCATGCCCTACAGCAACGCAGGAGGAGCCTCTGTTGGCTGTCCTAAACAGAGCCTTTTTTCCAAACTCCCCTTAGCAACAGGGGATCCTATAGAATAGAGAGCCAGCCCTCCGAGGCGACCACCCCCATGTAGCACATCAAATCGGAAGCCGCCTTGAAATCCATGGGGCCTCCTTGGAGGTCAATGCAGGCAGAGCTCAGGCGTGGGACCAGGGATCCACCTGGAAGCTGCAAGCAAATCAATCAATAGGACTCGTGCAAAAGTCCCTTTAAACAGCTGGGAGGCGAAGAAGGGGCATTGCACGGAACTGCGCATCGCAGTAAAGGAGCCCGATTTCTTCTGCACATCAGGGAAAAGCTGTTGCCTTAGAGCCTTTTTTCCCTTTTTGCAAAGTGGTGCAAGCTTCCTTGGCTACACAGAGCAACAGCACGCAAGGGAAACTGGGGGGGGGGGCGGGGGAATGAAACCCAAATAAATAAATATTATTTTCCCCCAATGCATAGCATCTTACGCACATAGGCCTCTTCCTCCCTCTTCCTGCCGATCCAGTAAAAAGGAGGGCGAGAAAAGGCGCAGAGGCGGCTGTGCAAAAACAGAGAGAGAGTGGGCTCGGCCAAACGCGAGGCGGGCGGGCGGCGCCAACCTAAGAAAAGCATTCCGGAGGCGGGGCCGCCAGCCAGCCAGCGAGGGGCGGGGCTGAAAGGGGAGTGGGCGGGGCTTCTCCCCTTGAGCGACGCGGCCCGGCAGCCAGCGGGCGGGCCTCTGGTGGGCGGAGCTGGGCGGCGGCCAATGGCGAGCGGCGCGTGGCCCGGAGCGAGCGCCTCAAATCGCCGCGGCCGCTCAGCTGATTGTTTCTTTCGCAGCTGGAGCGAGGGAGGGAAGAGTTGGCTGGTTCGGGGAGAGCCGAGCCGGCGCTGCAGGCGGGCGGGCGGGCGGGCGGGAGGTTCACTGGCAGGGCAAATATATTTATATAGATGGATTATTTTTGAGGCTGGATTTGCATGGAGCTGTGAGCCTCTCCGTTGCGGGGTGCAAGGCACCCCTTCCCCCCCCCCAGTTTTGCACCCCACCCACCCACGCATCCCTTTGCACAACCCCCCGGTTTGTTGCTTTGCATTGCACCCAAGGGTGCCCCGGGGGTGCCATGGTGCTGCGGGGCCCCGATCCGGGCCCCGATCCCCGCTCCCCGCTGGCCCTGGGACTGAGCACCTTGCACACGCTCCTCTACGCCGGCCTCTTCCTCTTCGCCTACCTGCAACTCTGGCTGCTCCTCTACTACCGGGAGAAGCGGCTCAGCTACCGCACCGTCTGCCTCTTCCTCTGCCTGCTCTGGGCGGCGCTGCGCACCGTCCTCTTCTCCTGGTACCTGCAAGGCGCCCTCCTGCCGCCCCACCGCCAGCCCCGGCTGCCTCCGTTGCCCCGCTGGCTGCTCTTCTGCTTCCCCGGCTGCCTCCTCTTCGCCACCGGCTGCCTCCTCAATCTCTATTTTGCAGAGGTAAGTGGGATGGGGAGGGAGGGAGGGGGCGTCTCTGTGTGTTTCAAATAAATATATATGTTTGTTTGGATTTTTTTTTGCATGGTGTTTTAAAAACAGCAGGACAAAACAAGCGCGCGCGCACCCGGCAGCCCAGGCACGCCCCCCCCTTCCTCCTCCTCCTCCGGCTTGTTTGCCTCTTCTTGTTTACCACATTCTGGTGCATCTGCAAAAAAACTTGGGATGGATTTTCCTCCTCCTCCTGCTGGTGTTGGAGAAACCCAAAAGGTTTTTTTTCCCCCTGCAAGCCTTGGCTTGTGTGATCTCTCTTGCAGTTTTTGCAGAGGTTGCAAGCGCACCCGGGCTTGCTGTATAGAGCTCTTGTACTTCTAGATGTGCATGTAAAATATATGTGCTTTTTTTCCTCCCTCTTCTTGCAAATAAGGAGCCAGAGCTTGCAGAGTACCAGCAACAGCCTCCCAGGTTGTCTCAGCTGGGGCAGGGAGCGCTGTCAGCCATTACGTCATCGCTCCGGAGCCTCTCCCCCCCCCCCCATTGTTGCTGCATTCCTCCTCTCCCTGTTTTGCTTTCTCTCCTCCTTCAGTGTCAAGACCTTTGAAAAGGATCTGGCTATTAACCCTATTTCCATTTTACCTGCTTAGCCCTTTTGATGGCATCTCCACATCACCATCCTAGGAAACTATTCTTTTAAAACTGTGAGTTTGCCACTTTCAATAATCTAGAAGATGAAAGGGTCAGAGCTGAAATATTTTTGTGGCTGTTCCCCCCACCCCCTTCTGCTGGGGTTAATCTCCTACCCCTCCCACCCTGTGTCTTGCTGATCAGCAGTTTCCAAACCCCTGCAAACTCCCCAAAACCAAACAACATTCAATTATCTGGCTTCAAGGTTTGGATGTTCTGTTGAGCATATTGCATTGCAATCCCTTCGTTGTTGAGTTGGGAGTAGGTTACACCGGGTTCTTTGGGGCTTATTTCCAGGCAGGTACCCAGGACCTACATACAGCCCTGAACACAAACCACCTCCTCTCTCCCAATTTTAGCTTTGTTACCCCTTGAGTGAACAGGACGATGCCCTCCACGCTACAGCAGTTGGCTGAATTTCCTTAAAATTTCCTTTCTTTTAGTGGGTGTGTTTCTTTTGAGTCTCAGGCAACACTCCCTCTCTCTGTGTGTGCAAAAGTGTCTTGTCACTTAGGATGCGGTGTCAACAATGATTTCATTCTCCCAGGGATGTTCACGTGATGAGCACGAGTGAGAGAGAGGCTGTTATCCCCAGTAAAAAATAAGCACTGGCTTCTCAAGGCTTGCTTTTTCGTAAGGCTCTCTCTGGGGTGGCGAATGAGAGTTGATGCGGGAGTAGAAACCTTAAGGCTGCAATCCTCTAGCACCGCTGAGCGTGGTGTTGCTCTTCAAATGGGTGTGCATAGGATCGATGGACCACAAAATACTGTGCCGCACCTTCCGAGGAGAGGGGGTGACATTTGCAGGTAGCATCACCCATAAAAGGAAAAGGGACCCCTGACCATTAGGTCCAGTTGTGGCCGACTCTGGGGTTGCGGCACTCATCTCACTTTATTGGCTGAGGGAGCCGGCGTACAGCTTCTGGGTCATGTGGCCAGCATGACTAAGCCGCTTCTGGTGAACCAGAGCAGTGCACGGAAACGCCGTTTACCTTCCTGCCGGAGCGGTACCTATTTATCTACTTGCACTTTGATGAGCTTTCGAACTGCTAGGTGGGCAGGAGCTGGGACCGAGCAACGGGAGCTCACCCCGTCGCGGGGATTCGAACCGCCGACCTTCTGATTGGCAAGCCCTAGGCTCTGTGGGTTAACCCACAACGCCACCTGCTTCCCAGCATCACCCATAGGCATCCCATAATCCTTGCGAAGGCAAGCTAAGAGATCAGGGCGGTATTGGCTGGTTTCAGCGCTGTTACTAAAACATGACGTGCTGGTTGCAAGGTTTTAAGGCTATCAAAGAGAAGGGCTAGAAGAGTCTTGCTCTTCAGAAGGTCTGGCTTAAGAGTATGGGGCTTGAAAGTTGTTAAGCGTCAACCCAGATCTCGCTGAAGAGCAGGCTCTTAACCAGGGGTTGGCAACCTAAGGCCCATGGGCCACAAGTCGTTTAACTGGCCCATGAACTGAGCCGCCTGCTAGGCAAGTCCCTGTGCGCTGTGCTAAACCGGCGCGGCGTGGGGACTTGCTTCCACGGCGCCAGAAATTGCGTCTGCACATGCACAGATGCCAAAAACCGCAGACACTGGAAATCGTGGGCATGCGCGTTGCGTGCACACACTCCGACCCACAGAGGGCTCTCCGCTGGAGTGAATTGGCCCAGGCGAGGTAAACCTTGTTGACCCCTGCTCTTAACCTTTGTGTCCCCTGATTCCCCCCTGGGTAAAGAGGACTACCGTATTTTTCACTCTGTAAGATGCACCCGACCATAAGACGCACCTAGTTTTGAGAGGAGGAAAACAAGAAAGCAACGCAAAGCCTCTTGAGCGAAGAGGGAGGAGCGCTCCCGCTGCGCTCAAGAGGCTTTGCGTTGCTATCGCTGAAGCCAGAAGAGGAAGAGGGATCGGTGCGCACTGATCCCTCTCGCTCTCCTGGCTTCAGCAATAGCTGCGCGGCCTGCATTCACTCCATAAGATGCACACACATTTCCCCTTACTTTTTAGGAGGGGAAAAGTGCGTCTTATAGAGCGAAAAATACGGTGCTTGAGAGGCGGTAAAGGCAACAAGAAAAGCTGTGTTCCATGGCAGGACATCTCTGCTCTGACTGGCAGCCAGCAGCTCTCCAAGGTTTCAGATGGGAGCTGCTCCCTGCCCTACCTGGAGTTACCAGGGAAGATGTTATGACACTGAGCCGCAGAGCATGTTGGCATGCAAAGTTATGCACCCTTTGGCTGTGCCCTTCTGCAAAGCGCATAGGGCAATTTCAAATGGACTCTATCCCCTGATGGTTAGTAAGTTGGGGACTGGGTTCATTTCTGGGTTTTCTGCCTCTGGGGGCTCCCCAAAATGTACCGTATTTTTCGCTCTATAAGACGCACCAGACCACGAGACGCACCTAGTTTTTGGAGGAGGAAAATAAGAAAAAAAAAATCTGAATCTCAGAAGCCAGAACAGCAAGAGGGATCACTGCGCAGTGAAAGTAGTAATCCCTCTTGCTGTTCTGGCTTCTGGGATAGCTGCGCAGCCTGCATTCGCTCCATAAGACGCACACACATTTCCCCTTACTTGTTAGGAGGGGAAAAGTGTGTCTTATAGAGCAAAAAATACGGTATTTGACAAGCTCTTTCTCCATGGTGTTCCCCTCAGAATCTAGTGTTAATTAAGCATCTGGAAGCATGGGGAACCAAGCAGAGTGGCTTGAGACCAATGAGTTTAGGGAAGGACAGAGCTCCTTCTGTCTCACAATGATCTCCTACCTGTATCTGCACTCCACATTTAAACTGCATTCAGTTTGTTTGCAGGTCTAAAGATTGAGCTGATATATTATGGGGTGCAGCAGCGAGGCAGGCCTGTTGACTTTAGACTACAGGGTTAACTGATGGAACAGCTCTTTAAAATCAAATCTGCAGATTAGAAGCACTAGTTCTGGAGGAGGGGGGAATCTATCGCTGATCTGAGGCTTGCAGGGTCCTCTTCTTCAACCAGACTCGAAGGGGGAAGCCAGCTTTCAAAACGGCAGCTTGAGGTGGAATTTGACGCAATTGTCTCCTCCTGAACTCCATGAGCTATGAATTCACATCTCAAGTTAACCACGGAGCAAGGAGTCTTAACTTCAGTCCCTAGAGATAGATGGTGGAAACTGGTCTAAAAATCTGGCTGCAAGGACAGGACGGTATCAAAGAGAAGGAAGACTTGAGACTGATGATTAACCCCGAGCATATCCTGTGCACACTTACTCAGAAAAGAAGACCATTGCTCAAGCCTGTGCATGTTTGCGGAGGGATTTTTGAGAAGTCCCTTGTCCCCAAGGAGTTGTTGCCACATAAAAATTCAGGGATGGGGAGATCAAGCCAATGCAATCCAAATTGCAACTGAGGTGTAACTGGGAACAAATAAAATGCTTGGATATGTGCCCCCTCCTCGAGAGGTCCAGAGGGCGGCAACACAAGAACAGGGCCTTCTCTGTGGTGGCTCCCCGTCTGTGGAATGCTCTCCCCAGGGAAGTTCACCTGGCGCTTTCATTATACACCTTTAGGCGCCAGGCAAAAGCATTCCTTTTTAACCAGCCCTTTGGTTGATCTTACTGACCTTTTAGAAAGTGGCTTTGTGGGGGGGGAGGTATTGGGTTTGTGCTTTTGGTTTGATTTTATATGTTGTGGTCTTGTCGTGACCGACTCTGGGGTTGCGGCGCTCATCTCGCTTTATTGGCCGAGGGAGCCGGCGTGCAGCTTCCGGGTCATGTGGCCAGCATGACTAAGCCGCTTCTGGCAAACCAGAGCAGCGCACGGAAACGCTGTTTACCTTCCCGCCGGAGTGGTACCTATTTATCTACTTGCATTTTGACGTGCTTTCGAACTCCTAGGTTGGCAGGAGCAGGGACCGAGCAACGGGAGCTCACCCCGTCGCAGGGATTCGAAGCGCCAACCTTCTGATTGGCAAGCCCTAGGCTCAGTGGTTTAACCCACCCGTGTCCCCCGTATAAGGTGGTGTATAAGTTGAACAAATACCATATTGGCTCGAATATAAGTCACACCCGAATATAAACCACTCCCTTAAAATTCTGCAGGCACTCACACCCGTTCTGTTTTGCCGTATGTCTGTTTCAGCAGCGATATCGTAAAAGCCAATTTTTGTAAGGTCACGAATTTAAGCCGCACTTTAACTTTCCATGGTCAGAATTTGGAAAAAAGGTGAGGCTTATATTCAGGCCAATACGGTAATAATGATGATAATCATGATAATAATAATAATTAATATCAGATATCGAGAGCTTGCCCCAGTTCCACAAGCTACAGTTCATGTCATGGAAGGGGGCAGTGAAGCTTTTGCTGGAGAACGGGTCCCTTTTACAGATCTGGAATACTGAGTCAGGAAACTTTGTGTTGCCCAAGAATGCCAGTTTGTCTTCTGCCAGGGAATGATTAAGCAGAAACCACCACTGCCACCATCTCCTTTGTAGAGAATTCTTTAGCTTGCCCAGAGCACCACAGCTGGGAAGCAGGAACTCGAGTGTGTGCAGAGCAAAACATTTTGCCGTTTGCACAATTCCCCTCGCTGTTTCTCTTCTTCCCTTCCTCGGTAGCTCTGCATTTTTGCATACCCATAAGACGATCCCTGCAGCTTTGTTGTTGTTGTTGTCTAGTCGTTTAGTCGTGTCCGCCTCTTCATGACCCCCTGGACCAGAGCACGCCAGGCACTCCTGTCTTCCACTGCCTCCTGCAGTTTGGTCAGACTCATGCTGGTAGCTTCAAGAATGCTGTCCAACCATCTCGTCCTTTGTCGTCCCCTTCTCCTTGTGCCCTCCATCTTTCCCAACATCAGGGTCTGGGGAAACCATAGCTTTAACTATACGGACCTTTGTTGGCAAGGTGATGTCTCTACTTTTTAAGATGCTGCCTAGGTCCCTGCAGCTAGATGAGGCCAAAGGCCTTTCTCCTTCAGCAGTCCATTCTCATGGTGTCCCACCTTTCAGTAGTTCCCTTTTCAAATATTCAGTATTTCGGCTTTCTTTGCTTTCAGGCATTATTATTTTTTTGTTCTCATGTGCGTGCAGCACTGTGTGTGCATATGTGTCTGTACCAGTCTGCAAAATGTTATTACACAAACCTACGGTGCCGCCGCGCTTGGAATACTGCGTGCTGTTCTGGTCAGCTCACTGCAGAAAGGATATTGCACAGCTGAAAAACGCTCAGAAAACAACAACAAAAATCACAGAGATGGAGCACCTCTCCAAAGATGAAAAGTTTCAACATTTGGGCAGTGCCATAGCTGGGGGGTTAAAGAACCTTTTAATGAGGGTGAAAGAGGAGAGCGCAAAATATGGTCTGAAGCTCAACATAAAAAAAACGAAGATCATGGCCACTGGGCCCATCACCTCCTGGCAGATAGAAGGGGAAGAAATGGAGGCAGTGAGAGATTTTACTTTCTTGGGCTCCATGATCACTGCAGATGGTGACAGCAGCCACAAAATTAAAAGACACCTGCTTCTTGGGAGAAAAGCAATGACAAACCTAGACAGCATCTTAAAAAGCCAACATCACCTTGCCAACAAAGGTCTGTATAGTTAAAGCCATGGTTTTCCCAGAAATGATGTATGAAAGTGAGAGCTGGACCATAAAGAAGGCTGATCGCCGAATAATGGATGCTTTTGAATTCTGGTGCTGAAGGAGACTCTTGAGAGTCCCATGAACTGCAAGAAGATCAAACCTATCCATTCTGAAGGAAATCAGCCCCTAGTGCTCACTGGAAGGACAGATCCTGAAGCTGAGACTCCAATACTTTGGCCACCTCATGAGAAGAGAAGACTCCCTGGAAAAGGCCCTGATGTTGGGAAAGATGGAGGGCACAAGGAGAAGGGGACAACAGAGGACGAGATGCTGGGACAGTGTTCTCAAAGCTGCCAGCATGAGTTTGACCAAACTGTGGGAGACAGTGGAAGACAGGAGTGCCTGGCGTGCTCTGGTCCAGGGGGTCACGAAGAGTCGGACATGACTAAACAACTAAACAACAATAGCTGGGGGGGGGGGATTTGCCAGGGGTTTTTGCCCTGGGTGAAGCCCCCAGAGAGACGCCATTGAGGCTCCCAGCCGCTGTGTGTGTACACAAATGGGCTTGGGGTGTGTGGCAAACTGGATCTTTGACTCGGGTGAAATAAAGCCTAGTTTTGCCCCTGATTTTGGGCTTTTTAGCTTAGCGAGAAGGTGAGCGAGGTGGGGCATGACAGAACTGTAAAATCAAGCATGGAGGAAGTGGTTAGAGAGAATATTTTTATTTCTCTCTTAATACTAGAACTCGGAGCCAGCCAGTGGAACGGAATCTTGGCAGGGGGTTGGACTCGATGGCCCTTGTGGTCTATTCCAACTCTATGATTCTATGATTCTAAGATTCAGGGTGGACAGTAGAAAGGGCTGCTGTCCTTCGTGCTTGGTTGAACTCTGAATTTTACCAAACAGGCCAACAGCTTGGCTTCAAAAAGATTGGAGAAATTCATGGAGGTTTGGGCTCTCTGTCGCTACCAGCACCAGTCCTGGTTTCAGGGTTCTCAACATAGGTATCTGGTTGGTGACTGTGAGAATAATAATAATAATAAATTTTAATTTATACCCCGCCCTTCCCGGTTCAGAAAACCGGGCTCAGGGCGGCGAACAACAAATTTAAAACACTTAATTGATGCAACAAAAAACAGCACAGAATACAGTATAAAGCGTGAATAACAATAAATTCAGAATTCAAAAATCAATTTAGGGGGGAAATCCATCCAATAAACATTAGATGATCACCAGGGCTAGCTGGCTAAGTTAGTCCTATTTGGGCCAGCGAGGAGACCAGGGGAGAATTAGCTGTGGGATCCCAGAGCGGATAATCTTCATAAAAAGGGGAGGGGGAGGAAAGGAAGGAAGGAAGGAAGGAAGGGGGATAAAAGATCAGGCTAAGTTCAAATTGAAAGCCCGGTGGAACAGCTCTGTCTTATAGGCCCTGCAGAAGGAGGTTAAATCCTGCAGGGCCCTAGTCTCATGGGACAGAGCATTCCGCCAGGTCGGAGCCATCACTGAGAAGACCCTGGCCCTGGTGGAGGATAATCTGACTTCCTTAGGGCCCGGGACCTCTAAACTATGATTATTCATAGACTTTAAGGTCCTCTGTGGGGCAGACCAGGAGAGGCGGTCCCGTAGATACGAGGGCCCTAAGCCACAGGAGGATGGATGGGACTTTGTTCTCATCCAGAAGGCTCTTACATACATTAGGAGGGGAAAGGGAACGTGTTTCTGGCCTTGTTTCCCTGAGTGAAGGCTGTATTGTGGATTTACTCTGCAGTAAGGAGGATCCGAAACCTGCATTGCAAGAGGTTCGGCTGGATGACCTTGGGGGGTCCCTTCCAACTCTACGAATCTATGAAACAAAGTGGTATACCTGCCCTGAAACCTCTGCAGGCACAAACAGTACTCAAAGCGGGCTTGCCTTATTTTTTATTTTTTATATTGAGTTTATTTACAGCACATACACACACACTTGTCGAACTAAACATGAAAACAATAGTACAGAATCAAAAGAAAAACAACAAAACACCAAACAAGAAAATACAAATAAAACGTGATAACGTATGGAAACTTAAACAAAACAAATAATAATATAAATAGATACTATATTTCAGTTCTTCTTTTCTTCTAATTGACTTCCTTCATCCTCAACACGGGCTTGCTTGTCGTCGTCTTCTTTGGCGATCACTCGTAGCTAAGCTTGTCTTCCATAAACATGGTTTTAACAATGAGTCTGTAAGTGACTGTGGAGGCCAATTCTGGATCCACACGTGCCTTCTTATTGTTTTATTGTTGACTTCTGCCTGACTCTGGCTCCTGACAAAATAAGGGGAGAAAAGGGCTCTTGTGCTTGAATCCTGCTTGCTGGTTTTCCACAGGCAACTGGTCGGCCACTGTGATAATGGGATGCTGGGCTGGAGGGGCCACTGGCCGGATCCAACATGTTATGTACTGAAGTTCTCACCCTGGGCCAGCAGGGGGGATACTGTAGTTTTCACTCAGGTCCACATATGCAAATAAGGGATTGAAAGTGACGTTCAGTGATTGGCTAGTTACAGAAAGTTGTTACTGTTGCGTTGTAGTGGAGCTCTATATAAGCAGGCTGGCTGAACCCTTCAGTTCTGTTCTGTTCTGTTCTGGCCTGTGAATAAACAAGAGCTGTCTGAGGAATCGCTGTGTCGTCTGATATGTTCACCCACAGCTTACACAGCAGGTGGTTCTTATGTCCTTACCTCGCACTACTCAAACCTAGACGTGACCAGAAACACAGCCAGGCTCCAAAATTCAAACTTCTCCAGTTCGAAACAGCAGCTGAAGCTGTCAGTGTGGATGCTGGAACGCTGGGGCTAAGTGCTCATGGGGACTCATACCTAGCAGAAAATTCAAAAGAAAACAGGTCCTGGTTTCCTCGTGCATCATGGGGATAAGCTCTTATTCTTTGGCGATCACTCATAGCCGAATAAGATTGTCTTGCATAAACACGGTTTTAACGGCCAGTCCGTAAGTGACTGTGGAGGCCAATTCTGGATCCACACGTCCTTTCACAGTGGGGACATTGGTTCCCGGGCGGGGAGTTGATCATGGTGTGGATTTGCCAAACACGCCTTCCTCTTAGCACGTTTCTCCCTTTCATCCTAAGTTTGAGCGTCTTCAAAACCCATGACACCTTTGGTAAAGGCTGTTCTCCAACTGGAGCGCTCGCAGGCCAGTGTTTCCCATTTGTCAGTGTTTATACTACATTTTTTTAGATTTGCCTTGAGAGAGTCTTTAAACCTCTTTTGTTGACCACCAGCATTACACTTTACATTTTTAAGTTCGGAATAGAATAGTTGCTTTGGAAAACGATAATCAGGCATGCGAAAAACGTGACCGGTCCAACGAAGTTGATGTTGAAGGATCATTGGTACATCGTCACGAATGCACAATGTAAAGGATATCTGAAGGGAGCCCTATGATGGAATAGGGGAAAACCTCACCCAAACCCACATTTTCTCTCTTTCTGAACAGGTGATCTTCAAAGTGAAGTGTGCCGCCGAATTCAACAAATACAAGTGAGTCTAACCTTTTGGGGTGGTGCCTGGGGTGGTGCCATTAGGTCCACTCGTGGCCGACTCTGGGGTTGCGGCGCTCATCTTGCTTTACTGGCCGAGGGAGCCGGCGTACAGCTTCCGGGTCATGTGGCCAGCAGGACTAAGCTGCTTCTGGCGAACCAGAGCAGCGCACGGAAATGCCGTTTACCTTCCCGCCAGAGTGGTACCTATTTATCTACTTGCACTTTGACATGCTTTCGAACTGCTAGGTGGGCAGGAGCAGGGACCAAGCAACGGGAGCTCACCCCGTCACAGGGATTCAAACCGCCGACCTTCTGATCGGCAAGTCCTAGGCTCCGTGGTTTAACCCACAGCGCCACCCGCGTCCCACCAACTAATTCATAGGATTCAACTAATTTTATGCACTAGTGAGGTGGGAATTCCTCCCTCTTAACTTTTCCATATGTGCAAACTGCACCATCCCCAAATCTGCTCCGGAGGGTTGGGGAAGCCCCTAGAAAAAAATTAGGAGTTAAGGTGAGAAGGGGCTGTATTGCCAAATCTTGGAGGACCTTTAATTCTAACAAGACAGAGCTATTCCGCCTGGCCTTCAATTTGAATTAGCCTGATCCTCTATTCCCTTTTCCCTTTCCTCTTCTATGAAGAAACCCTTTCTGGGACCCCACACTCACCGTATTTTTCGCTCTATAGGACGCACCAGATGATAAGACGCACCTAGTTTGGGAGGGAGGAAAACAAGAAAAAAAATATTTTGAATTCCAGAAGCCAGAACAGCAAGAGGGATCTGGCTTCTAGGATACCTTGTGGCTGCTCTGGCTTCTGGGAAACCGCACCAAACCTCTTCAGGGCAGCGGGATGAAGGCTTCCCCTGCCCGAAGAGGCCGCGCGCGGCTAAAGCAGAGGCCAGGGCAAGCGTGTCGCTGAAGGGGCGCTGCGCAGTTCTCCCTCTCTGCGCAGCGCCTCTCCTGCAAAGGAGAGGCGCTGTGCAGAGAGGGAGAACTGCGCAGCGCCCCTTCAAGCAAAGCTGGAGAAGGAACAGAAGGAGACCCTTCCGCTCCTCCTCCGGCTTCCAGGCAGGTGTGTGGCTGAAGCCTTTGGAGCGCAGCGGGACCTCGCGCTGCGTTCCAAAGGCTTCGGGTTCCTTTGGCTGAAGCCTGGAGAGTCTTGCTCTCCCAGCTTCAGCAAAAGGAACCCGAAGCCTTCGGTGTGCAGCGCGAGTTCCCGCTGCGCTCTGGAGGCTTCGCGTTGCTTTCGCTGAAGCCTGGAGAGCGAGAGGGGTCGGTGCGCACCGATCCCTCTCGCTCTCCAGGCTTCAGCGAAAGCAACGCGTAGCCTCCGGAGCGCAGAGGGAGCGATCCCTCTGCGCTTCGGAGGCTTCGCGTTGCTATCGCTGAAGCCAAGGAGCCTGCATTCGCTCCATAGGACGCACACACATTTGCCCTTAATTTTTGGAGGGGAAAAAGTGCGTCCTATAGAGTGAAAAATACGGTAAATTCTTCTCTGGACTCCTTGCTGCCCCTAATAGGACCAACTTGGCCAGTTAGCCCTGGTGATCATTCAGTGTCTACGGACTGGGATTTCCACCCCCCACCCCCCAAAATGACCCCTGAATTTTTGAATTTTATTGATGCTGCATTTTATGTTGTGTTTTATGCTGTTTTTAAGTCGCATTTTAATCAATGTTTTATATTTGCTGTTAGCTGCCCTGAGCCCGGTTTTTAAACCGGGAAGGGTGGGATATAAATAAAATTTTATTTATTTATTATAATAGTTTGGATTACTGGTATTCAAGGGGTTGGGCAAATGCCCCTTTTTAAGAAGACATCTGATAAACCAAAAATATATGAAGGAGAGAGCTCAAATGGCCCTTTTTTAAAAAATACATGGGGTTATTTTATTTCTTATACAAATCCAGACGCACATGGTTACTCAGTGCCACCAGTATGTACAAATGTCCAGCTCATTTGTGACTATATAGCACCTTTATTCTCAATCATGGAACTCACTGGTGGGCAATACTTTTATAAATCTTAATTGTTTGTAAATGGGATATTTGTATGGGTCAATACTTTATTCTCCCTTTGGAGCTGCATGGTAGCTTTGACCTTCCAACCTGCCAATGCTTTTATGGCTTAAATCTTTGGTTCTTATTTTTCTGTCTGCACTTGTTGTTGCTAATAAATCAATAAAAAATAATAAAAAGAGTTAAATTAAAATTAAAAGAAACCTAAATTAAAATTAAAAGAAACAGAGTGGATTTAGGGAGAGAAAGGGAGAATATTCCGTAGCGCAAGGATAAATCCTTCTGCTGATAGGCCATTCACCTCATTGCTATGCTGAATACAACCCACAGGTTTTGAGAGCGCTTTATCTTTTGTAATACCAATGGATCTTGAACTTGTTTGGTTTTTAACGCTCTGTACTTGAACAGATTTCTTTCCCCACTTGGCTTCCATGTCGCCCCACTGGGGTCCTCTCTGCCCCCTTTCCTTTCCCCTTTTCTCCTGCAGCTAATGTCTTACTGCACCTTAAGGCAGGAATAGCCAACATGGTGCTTCTAGGTATCGCTATAATAATATACATATAAATAAATATAATGAATATAAATTTAAAAATTATTTATATCCCGCTCATCTGACTGGGTTTCCCCAGCCACTCTGGGTGGCTTACAGCATATATAAAAACATAATAAAACATCAAACATAAAAAACCGGAACATCTATTGAAATGTATAAGATTTTGAAATGCAGAAACAAAGAAAATAATCAAACCATTAATTCTAGTGTCTGGGGTGGGGCCACCTAAATTGTATAATTTGGCATCTCAATGATTGGTCTTATTAATTTGGCATTGTTGCAATGCGGCTATTATTGGATTGTTGTAGCTAAAAACTAATAAATTATTATCAAAATAAAAAAACCAAAAACCGGAATATCTTAAACAGACTATAAATAAACCAATAGAAACCAAGAATAAGAATAAACAGTTTACATCTATACCCAAATTAAAATAACATCCACCTAAACATTTAACCAACCCCACCCCGACAAAAACAAAACAGAGGAACCAAAATTGAAACATTTTAGCCAGTTGCCCAAACCCAAATGGGATTACAACTCCCAGTGCCAGATTTAGGTAAAGGTAAAGGGACCCCTGACCATTAGGTCCAGTCATGACCGACTCTGAGGTTGCGGTGCTCATCTCGCTTTACTGGCCGAGGGAGCCGGCGTACAGCTTCCAGGTCATGTGGCCATCATGACTAAGCCGCTTCTGGCGAACCTTCCCGCCAGAACGGTACCTATTTATCTACTTGCACTTTGACGTGCTTTCGAACTGCTAAGTTGGCAGGAGCAGGGACCGAGCAACGGGAGCTCACCCTGTCATGGGGATTCGAACCGCCGACCTTCTGATCGGCAAGTCCTAGGCTCTGTGGTTTAACCCACAGCGTCACCCACAGAGCCATCTGCGTGCCGGATTTACATATAAGCTAAACAAGCTATAGTTTAGAGCCCCACTCTCTTGGGGGCCCCCAAAAAATTTAAAGAAAACCTGGAGGTACATTTCCAAACTATAAGATTAAAAAACAATAAAATAAAACCTACATATAGCAACCGTGTTTTGTGTTGTGTAGGCTCCTATGATGTAAGTCATGGGCCCCGCCTGCTCGCCTGCTCCCTAAAATATCACTGGTTTGCTCCTTTCTATATACAGTGGTGCCCCGCAAGACGAATGCCTCGCAAGACGAAAAACTCGCTAGACGAAAGGGTTTTCCGTTTTTTGTCGTTCCGCAAGACGAATTTCCCTATGGGCTTGCTTCGCAAGACGAAACGTCTTGCAAGTTCTTGCGAGTTTGTTTCCTTTTTCTTAAAGCCGCTAAGCCGTTAATAGCCATGCTTCGCAAGACGAAAAAACCGCAAGACGAAGAGACTCGCGGAAAGGATTAATTTCGTCTTGCGAGGCACCACTGTATGGTGCCTACATTCTGCATGGACTGGTCGCATGGCAACATGTGCAAATGGCTTGAGATACCTATCAGGTCCATACATTACCATATAGCATATTTTCAACACAAAAACCAGCGACAAATTGTTGTTGCCAAAGGCTGGACATATAAAGGGCCCCATTACCTTCAGTAGCTTAGGGCCTCATCAAACCTAAATCCGGCCCAGGCTATGTTCCGTTCCTCCCAGCCAGCATCAAGCAAGATAGCAGCTGCGGTCTGTTGACCACATTGGGACACGGAAGGGATAACCTTCTGTTTCTGTTTCCAGGGCCACCCTGTACGTGGGCTCCATCCTCACCAGCCTCCTCTTCGTCTTTGTGAATTTGACGTGTGCGTTGCTGGCGCACGGCGACCTCCCTGAGGACCAGCTGCGGTGGACGGTGTTCACCCGGGCTCTGATCAACGACAGCCTCTTCATTCTCTGCGCCGTCCTGCTCGCCTGTTTCATGTGCAAGCTGTCCAAAATGTCTTCGGCCAATGCTTACCTTGAGTCCAAGGTAAGGGAGATGGGTTGGTGGGTTGGTTTGTTGTTGTTGTTGCTGCTGCTGCTGTTGTTTTTCCTCGCCTTAAAGTCTCCCATTTCCAAGGAGGGATGAGTGGCTGGTCTCCGCGAAGTTAGGGTGTGGTTGTTAAAGTGGAAAATTGAATTGTACCTGAATCTTGGAATCTGCCACACACCATTGTGTAGAGGCAAGGCCAGCTTTAACGCTCAAGTGCTCATTTGTTTTGTGTACAGTGGTACAGCCAGAAGAGCAGGGTATAAATAAATTATTATTATTATTGTTATTGTTATTGTTGTTGTTGTTGTTATTTATTAAACATGAGTCTGACCAAACTGCGGGAGGCAGTGGAAGACTGGAGTGCCTGGCGTGCTCTGGTCCATGGGGTCACGAAGAGTCGGACACAACTAAATGACTAAACAACAACAACAACATTATTATTTTTTATTACCTTGGTTCTCAAACTTAATCCGTTCCAGAAGTCCGTTCCAAAACCAAAGCGTTCCAAAACCAATGTCCGATTTCCCATAGAGAGGAATGTAAAACGGATTAATCCGTTCCAGACTTTTAAAAACGACCCCTAAAACAGCAATTTAACATGAATTTTACAGCTGTCCATGGAGGCGCAGGTTAATTCTGTGTCCAGGGCAGCTGTTCATCAGCTTCATCTGGTACGCAGGCTGAGACCCTCCCTGCCCGCAGACTGTCTCGCCAGAGTGGTGCATGCTCTGGTTATCTCTCGCTTGGACTACTGCAATGCGCTCTACATGGGGCTCCCTTTGAAGGTGACCCGGAAACTACAACTAATCCAGAATGCGGCAGCCAGACTCGTGACTGGGAGCGGTCGCCAAGACCACATAACACCGGTCCTGAAAGACCTACATTGGCTCCCAGTACGTTTCTGGGCACAAGTCAAAGTGTTGGTGCTGACCTTTAAAGCCCTAAATGGCATCGGCCCAGTATACCTGAAGAAGCGTCTCCACCCCCATCGTTCTGCCAGGACACTGAGATCCAGCTCTGAGGGCCTTCTGGCAGTTTCCTAGCTGCGAGAAGTGAAGTTACAGGGAACTAGGCAGAGGGCCTTCTTGGTGGTGGCGCCCGCCCTGTGGAACACCCTCCCATCAAATGTCAAAGAAATAAACAACTTTCTGACGTTTAGAAGACATCTGAAGGCAGCCCTGTTTAGAGAAGTTTTTAATGACCGATGTTTTAATGTACTTTTAATCTTTTGTTGGAAGCCGCCCAGAATGGCTGGGGAAACCCAGCCAGATGGGCGGGGTACAAATAATAAATTATTATAATAATTATTATTGAGTCTCACAGCAGAGCAAGAGCCACTTTCATTACCCTGCCCATCCTCAACTCCTCTTTTTATGGACACTACCTGCCTCTGTGACGCTTTCCCTTTCATGCCTCTGTGGAATGTTTGTGAACGTTCCGTGACCCCGCAGCCCATTTCTCAAGTTCCAACACGTATCTGGTTTTGGAAGAGCAGGCTGCCCGTACGGAACCGGCAAAAAAACCACACCAAAGTAGCTCTGAATAAATTTGCATCAATTAGCATAGATTATTCATGGAGCACAGTCCGTTGTGCACGGAGCTTTACGGGCTTAACCGAAGCGGGAACAGACAGGTCTCTACCCTGGGCGATGATCTCTGAGGACATGGCGTCTCGCCTCCCACCCACCATCCCCCCCCTCCCCGCTGCATGCCTGAACCGGTTGCTTTTATCTCGTGTCTGAAAATACCATATTTTTCGCTCTATAGGATGCACATATTCCCCTCCAAAAATGAAGGGGAAATGTGTGTGTGTGTGTCCTATGGAGCGAATGCAGGCTTTCGCTGAAGCCTGGAGAGCCAGAGGGGTCGGTGCGCACCGACCCTTCTCGCTCTCCAGGCTTCAGGAAGCTATCCGCAAGCCTTTGGAGTGCTGCGGGAGTGCCCGCTGAAGGCTTGCGGATTGCAGCCCGAAGCCCGGGGAGCTGGATGGCTGCGCAAAGCCTCCCCTGAAGCCAAAGCAGCTGTCCCCGAAGCCAAAACAGCATGATGGAGTGCTGCGCAGCCCTCCGTCTCGCTGTTCTAGCTTTGGGATGGCTACGCAAAGCCTCCACAGGGCAGCGGGGTGTCTGCACCCCGCTGCCCTGCAGAGGCCACAAAGGATGTCCCCGAAGCCTCAAGCCTTTGGAGTGCAGCTGAGCTCCAAAGGCTTCAGGGATCTTTGAGGCTGGCGGTGGGGGAAAGCAGCGCTTCCCCCCACTGCCAGCCCCACAAGCTCGAGGGGCAGAAGAAGAAGAGTTTGGATTTGATATCCCGCCTTTCACTCCCCTTCAGGAGTCTCAAAGTGGCTCACAATCTCCTTTCCCTTCCTCCCCCACAACAAACACTCTGTGAGGTGAGTGAGGCTGAGAGACTTCAGAGAAGTATGACTGGCCCAAGGTCACCCAGCAGCTGCATGTGAAGGAGCGGAGACGCGAACCCGGTTCCCCAGATTATGAGACTACCGCTCTTAACCACTACACCACACTGGCTCACACGCAGCCTTTGCGCTATTCCCCGACCTGCTCTTGAACGCACCTTGTTTTAGAGGGGGAGAACAAGAGAAAAAAATCCCCCTTTTCTCCCCCTCCTATGGTCCAGTGCGTCCTATAGAGCGAAAAATACGGTAAGTGTCTGGGCCAAATAATAAAATAGTAAGAGCATCCTCTCCATCTTCGAGGCTGGTAGAGTAAGAGATTCCTTCTCTGTGGCATCTGATTCTTTGTGAACTTGGCATGTTCAAATATTTAAAAGCTGTTTTTCTTAAAAGACAGATGAACAGCTCTTCCAGTTCAGTTCTCTCGTGAACAATTTACCCAGCGTAAAAACAACCACTTAAGAAGAAAGATCTGAGCACCAACTTCCTGTATTTTTAATGCCCTCTTTCAGTGTATATGTGTTTTTCTTTTTATAAAAAAAACTAGGGCACATCTGTCTGCCAAGCCTTGCTTGTGGGTTCTGTCGTCCTCCTCCTGTACTCCTCGAGGGCTTTCTATAACCTGGTGGCGGTGGCGATCTCCCCGGACCACGTGCCCAGCCCGTTCAACTATGGTTGGGATAACCTTTCGGATAAGGTCAGTGGGCTTTGATCCAGGTGTTTCCGAATTTCCATATAAGAACAGAAGAAGAGTCAGTGGCCCACCTAATCCAGAAATCCTGTCTTTGCATTGGCTGAGCAGTTGCCTGTGGGAAACCCAGTGTCAGGATTCGAACACAAGACCCGCTCCAAGGTCGTTTCCAGCAACTGGTATTCAGCTTTGCTGCCTCCAACTGTAGGGGCAGAGCACAGCCTTCGTGGCTAGCAGCCCTTGATAGCCCGCTCCTCCTCCATAAATTTGTCCAATCCTCCTTTAAAGCCCATCAGTACGTTTCCGAGCACAATTCAAAGTGTTGGTGCTGACCTTGAAAGCCCTAAACGGCCTCAGTCCTGTATATCTGAAGGAGCGTCTCCACCCCCATCGTTCAGCCCGGACACTGAGGTCCAGCGCCGAGGGCCTTCTGGCGGTTCCCTCACTGCAGGAAGCCAAGTTACAGGGAACCAGGCAGAGGGCCTTCTCGGTGGTAGTGCCCGCCCTGTGGAACGCCCTCCCACCAGATGTCAAAGAGAACAACAACTACCAGACTTTTAGAAGACATCTGAAGGCAGCCCTGTTTAGGGAAGCTTTTAATGTTTAATAGGTTATTGTATTTTAATATTCTGTTGGAAGCTGCCCAGAGTGGCTGGGGGAACCCAGCCAGATGGGTGGGGTATAAATAATAAATTATTATTATTATTATTATATTTATTTATTTATTCATTTATTTATTTATTTTCATCATCTAAGCTGGTGGCCGTCACGGCCTCCTGTGGCAATGAGTCCCATAGTTCAACTGTGCACCATGTTGAAAAGTACCTTCTCTCTTATCAGTCCTGAATCTTCTAAATAAGAGGCGTCCCACAATGGAAGTCTGTACTCGAAGGACAGTCCCAGACACAGTGTAGCCCATGGGTAGGCAAACTAAGGCCCGGGGGCTGGATCCAGCCCAATCGCCTTCTAAATCCGGCCCCCAGGCAGTCCGGGAATCAGCATATTTTTACATGAGTAGAATGTGCCTTTTATTTGTAAAATGCATCTCTGGGTTATTTGTGGGGACTGCCTGGTGTGTTTACAGGAGTAGAATGTGTGCTTTTATTTAAAATGCATCTCTGGATTATTTGTGGGGCATAGGAATTCGTTCATTTTACCCCCAAAAAAATATAGTCCAGCCCCCCCACAAGGTCTGAGGGATAGTGAAAAAGTTTGCTGACCCCTGGCCACTGTAACCTATCTCCTTGAGTGCTGAACTTGAATCCATGCCCTGTTCCCGCAGGTTCGAGGCGAAGAAGCCGGAAGCGAAGAATACGTGGTTTTTGGGGTCGTCTTGTTCCTCTGGGAATTTGTCCCTACAACATTCCTGGTTCTCTTCTTCCGGGCTCAGAGGATCGCACAGAACTTGGTACGATCACGCAGTGTTTGCACGGATCATCTACTTTTCCCAGTTAAAAACAGAGCGTGCCCCTCAAAGACCGCTTCGAAAGGAAATGATTATTTTTTAAAAAGATTTTGTTGAAGCAAATCAAACAAATTGATAGAGCGGAAATAATGGAAGTGGCAAGAAGCAGCACAGTATATCCATATTAGTTTGGTGGGGTATTGAAGACCGTGTTGAAAACAAAATTTCACCACTGAGAGGGAGTTGTGTACGTCTGTATTTGTTGTGCATAAGATAAAACCCCACCAAAATTTCTTTTTTTTATTTTTTTATTTTCAATTCAAAACGACAGCAAAAATTACAAACATTGAATCCAAAATAAAACAGTACAAACAAGGGGGGGAAACACAAGAGAAAAAACCCCACAAAAAACAGAAACACACACCTACAAATAAAACCATATACAGTGGTACCTCGGGTTAAGTACTTAATTCGTTCCAGAGGTCCGTTCTTAACCTGAAACTGTTCTTAACCTGAAGCACCACTTTACAGAGTCTGTAACCTGAAGCGCCTGTAACCTGAAGCATATGTAACCTGAAGTACCACTGTAATCATTCTAATCTAATCATTCCATACATACCGTATTTTTCGCTCTATTAGACGCACTGGACCATAAGACGCACCTAGTTTTTAGGGGAGGGAAACAAGAAGTAAGAAAGCAACGCAAAGCCTCCTGAGCAAAGAGGGAGAGCTCCTCCATCTTCGCTCAGGAGGCTTTGCGGGGCTATCCCTGAAGCCAGGAGAGCAAGCGGGATCGGTGCACACCGATCCCTGTTGCCCTCCTGGCTTCAGCAAAAGCAAGCCTCCTGACTTTCCCCCCACCTCCCGCAAGAACCGCGCGCTCTTTAAAGGGAGCGCGGCTCTTGGGGGCTTTTCTGGGAGGTGGGGGGAGGGAGAGCCGTGCGCTCTGTCCCTTCACCCACCTCTCGCAAAAGCCAGGGATAGCTGCACAAAGCCTCCGCAGGGCACGCGGCTAAGGCTCCCCCAAGAGCTGCGCTCCCTTTAAAGAGCGTGCGGTGTGTGTGTGGCTCCATAGCTGTCATCTTACAGATTTGAAAATAAGGGACCAGCAGCCAAAATAAGGGATTTTCAGAGCACAGGTATGTTCGACTTCTGAGCCCCTCCGAGCCAAAGGCAGAAAGCCCAGCCAGCAGCCAAACGAAGCCTCAAGCGGTGGTTCCCACAGCGCAGCAACCCGGCAAAGGGGATGCAGCAAGGAAAACCACCGTCACCTCTCGGCTGGGAAGCGCTGAGCAAAGGCGAGTCCCCAGGCAACGCGGCCGATTTGATCAGCACAAGGCATGCAAGCTCCACCCCCCAGTCGTTCTTAGGCTCCTTATTGGGTGAGCAACGCAGCCAAGCAACACAGCTGGAGCCTCCCTACTCCCTGACCGGCAGGGAGGGAGGGAGAGGAGCTGCTTCCTTTGAAACCCGGGAAATTTAAGGGACATCATCAATAAGGGACAGCAGCGGGACACAGCGCTGGGATAAGGGAGTTTCCTGCCAAATAAGGGACGGTTGACAGCTATGGTGCGGCTCTTGGGGGCTTTTCCCCGAGGAAGGGAGAAGGGCAGCCCGTCAGTCCCTTCTCCCTCCTCGGGGAAAAGCCCCAAAGAACCGCACACACGCTCCACGCGGCTCTTTAAAGGGAGCGCTGAGCAGAGCCTCCCACCTGCATCGCTCCATAAGACGCACACACATTTCCTCTTACAGTGGTACCTCGGGTTAAGTACTTAATTCGTTCCGGAGGTCCGTTCTTAACCTGAAACTGTTCTTAACCTGAAGCACCACTTTAGCTAATGGGGTCTCCTGCTGCTGCTGTGCCGCCGGAGCCCGATTTCTGTTCTCATCCTGAAGCAAAGTTCTTAACCTGAAGCACTATTTCTGGGTTAGCGGAGTCTGTAACCTGAAGCGTATGTAACCCCAGGTACCACTGTACTTTTTAGGAGGGGAAAAGTGCCTCTTATAGAGCAAAAAATGCAGTATATACATATTGACTTCCTTCCTTTGTTCTAAGACCTTGAAATTTTTACTCTTTCTAAGTTGTTGTGTCTAATGTAGAATATTTATACTTTTTACACCATTTTTCTCTTTCTTTAACCCTGCAAAGCATCATTCATTACATACTGAGATGCTTACTCCGGAACAGGAGGCTTTGTGCTACATTTCTTTGGCAGCACATTAGTTTAACGAGTTATTTTTTCAGCTAATGCTAAGCTCCACACATTTTTACATCAAAGCAAACGTTGCAGATCCTGCAAGGTTCCCCCCCCCCCTCAACTGAAAGAGGAAAAGGAAATTAAATGAGACTTTCCTCCCCATCTCCCCCTAAGTGGGATGCTCTGCACCCCAGACCCATGTTCTAAGATCGCTGTCTGTTTTGCTCACTTAGCTAACAGCCTCTTTTAACCAAACAGGCGCCGGCTGGAATGATAAACAGCCACAGCTACAACTCCCGAGCCTATTTCTTCGACAATCCAAGGCGGTACGACAGTGACGACGACCTTCCGAGGCTCAGCGGAGGAAGGTAGTGCGGTTGACGGGGGAGAGGGCGTTTTGTTGGCAGCCCACTTCAAAGCGTAGGGAAGGGCTGTATGGCTCAGTGGGTAGAGCACGACATCTGGAGGGCCGAGTTTGCCTATGCCTGCTTTAGAAAGTTGTGTAGTTGTTTATTTCCTTGACGGGAGGGTGTTCCACAGGGCAGGTGCCACTACCCAGAAGGCCCTCTACCTGGTTCTTTATAATATCACAGCAGGGTGGATTTGATTTAAATCAAATGGATTTAAATCACAATTTAAATCACTAATCAGTAAGACTTTATTTAATTATTATTTTTTTACACAAATACTCATTCTTGCTGGTATAGTCTTAATATTTACAACCAGGTGAAGGTTTCGTTTTTGGAATAATAAATTTTCAGAGTAGCTTTTATACAATATCAAAATTTACTGATTTGGTCATTCTATTAGAAATACATAGACAGATAATTATGAAATTATTGTGAGGTTTAATCAGTTAACTGTTTATATTTGGATAACTTTCCTGCTGTACTTTATTGGAAGGAGAAAAATAATCAGTTCCTTAACGATTTTAACAATTTGTTTAACTAAAACAATAACAATATAACATATGTATCCATGTTTGTTAACTGATGTGGTTAAACAATTATTTTATTAAAAAGAGACTTGAGTTTTAGCACATGTGAAAAACGTACGTAACTTAAATAGACTATAATGTAACTTAAATAGAAAACTACCTTTAGAAAGATTTTTCCTCCAAAAGCATTTTATTAAAAAAATCCAATTTAAATTTTTTAAAAATCCAATTTAAATTTTAAAAAACCTGATTTAATTTTTGAAAAATCCATTTTTTTATTTTTAAAAAAAATCATTGATTTTTATCCACCCTGCCTCACAGCAAGAGAACTGCCAGATGGTCCTCGGAGCTGGGCCTCAATGTCCGGGCTGGATAATGGGGGCAGAGATACCCCTTCAGGTACACTGGGCCAAGACTGTTTAGGTCAGGCATGGCCAAACTTGGCCCTCCAGCTGTTTTGGGACTACAACTCCCATCACCCCTAGCTAACAGGACCAGCTGTCAGGGATGATGGGAACTGTAGTCCCTAAACAGCTGGAGGGCCAAGTCTGGCCATTCACTGGTTTAGGTGTTGCCTTATTGGAGTTCACCGATTGGGTCTGCGTTGCTCCCGGACAGGAGGAAGGAAGTCAAATGACACCGAGGGTTGGTTCAGAGAAAGAGTTCTTTATTTCTGCTCTCCGGAACAGCAGAAAGGCACTTGCTTGGTGTGTCCACAGCAAGTCCAAAGAAATGAGAAATTTCATGCAGTATATATATCCTCCAGGCACCCTCTCCCTCCTTCCCCAGGAATCCAGCCACATCAGCTTGTACACGCAGGTTGACATTACAGATGTTCCTGCTCCAGCACTCTTAACCGTAAAAGGGTTTTCCTTCCTGTACTTCAAACCATAAAAGGATATTCCTTCCTGTACTTCTGACCATAAAAGGATCTTCCTGTTCCTACTCTTATCTTGGAGCAAGAGGTCACCATCTCCAAGAACACCCTCTGGCGCTGTTCCCAGACTAGGTCTGTGTGCCTTTTTGGTCAGGATATAAGGCACGGACGTGTCTTCCCTGTTCTACTGGTACAGTCAAGGCCATTCTTGCCGTCACAAACTGATAAAGGAGAGGTCTCTGAGCACTTGTTTATACAGCTGGGTTTTTGGCTCACGAGCTCAAGTTAAAGCATTTTAGCTAAGGGAAAATAGGGATTTTGGTGCAGTTTCAAACTGCCTGCACAGTCAGTTTTGGGTTTGGGAAACCCATTCCTTCATTGGTGCATTTGGTTTTAGACTGGTTTTCCCAGACCCGCAGGACTTCCCTCCTGTCCTCTTCCTTCTCCGCAGCTTGGCTACCCCCCAGAGCTCTGGCTGGTACGGTTCCTTGACGGGGAGCGACAGCTGCACCATGATCCCGCCGTTGGTGGCCCCTCCGATGGACGTGGCTCCGCTGCTCTTCACCCATGGGAGCCTGGATTCGAGAAGCCACCCGAACCCCCGCCTGGTGCCGTAGGACTGGAACTCGCGTGCCTCTGGGGGGCTGCACCTGGGTGGGACGCGGACGGAGCGGGGCTCCAACCAGGTGCGCAGGACTCGGGCGGCAGCTCCCCGCTGGGTCCCCAAATACCTAGCGCAGCTCCCAAAGTTTCCGGGACGTGGGAACGGAAGGATGGGAGCTTTGCAAAGCTAACTCTTATTGCCAAACGGTACTTGCAATGATGGAAGGCGGCGAGGTCAAACCACAGCCCTATAGTATTTCGTTTCAGTGCGTCAGGCCTTCCAGAGGAGGACGATACCTTGGCAACCAAAAACAGCAGACCTTGATGGCTGATAATTTGCACTTTTAACCGAACTTTCCCAAGGAACGCTCCTTCTCCCTGCCAGTCAACTGTCTCCATCAGCTCGGGAAGACGGTTCTGGGTAACCTTTTTAATTGCACATCCATAGCTGGGGAAGTTTGTTCGGTCTTCCTGCGATGACTGGAGCATCTCTGCGTACTAACGGTGGGGACGTTTCGGGTCGGGTGGGGAATTCCTTGCTTCCAAACTTTTCAGAGTTTTAAAATGGGGAAACCACAACACACAAAAAAGAAAGAATGTTAACAAGTGTGGCACAAGTGTCGTGGTCTCACAAGGGTTAAGTTACCTTGCAGCTATGCTTTACTATCAATCTGTTGATTCCTGGGGCTGTTGAAGCCAGTTCTTCATATCTATATTTTTTTGCATGTGGTATGAAGCCCCTTGCGACCGACTGACTTATGTTGAGCATTGATTTATAAAACTAAAAAACTTGGTTCACACACTGGGGAAAGCAGAGCTGTTACTCAGTGGTGCTTTATTTTGATTTTTAAGACAGAATGGCTCCATGAGGACTAATTGCATGCTTGGTATGGATATTGCAGAAGCAGCTGAGGTTGATTATTCAGCTGCTTTTAGCCAGCCAGCTACAGGTGTGGTCCGGGATGGGAGAGCCTTCTTAGGGTTCGCTTAGCAGCCGGGAAGAAGCACGGTTAGCGTTTGGACTGCTTAGCAATCACGAAATAGCACTGTCATCTGCAGGGAGAAAAAGTTTGGTTGCACTCTCTAGCAGAGTTGAAGAAAACTTTCCCTCTTCTCCTTTACTCCCTGCTTCTTCTTAATAAAGAAGTGTAGCCATTGATGCATCTTCTGGAAGATTTTGCAGTTCATGGCAGTCATACTTCACAGCAGAGGGGATGGGGGCAGTTGCCTGTTTATAATGCACACAGCTGTGTTGTCTAGAGAAGCTGCAATCCCTCCATTTTTAAAAAATCCAAGCTGGGAATGTACACTCTTGAGTGGGATAAAGTGAAGACTCCCTAAGGGTCAAGAGGCAGGCTGGATGAACCCCTTCTTATATTGGGTCATTTCCACCACCTTCTGGCTGCAAAAATCTGATTCTGCTCCCTTGTGACGGAATGAAGACATGTCCCCATTGCACAGAAGTTCAGGTCCAGAACTGGAGCTCTCTGTTCCACAAGGTTGCGTGCATTCTGCTTCTCAGGCAGTTGGAGAACCAGGTTGAGTTATCCCTAACATTGAGAGGTAGGAGGCAGTATCTTGCCAAACTTGGCCCTCCAGCTGTTTTGGGGACTACAACTCCCATCATCCCTAGCTAACAGGACCAGTGGTCAGGGAGGATGGGAACTGTAGTCTCAAAACAGCTGGAGGGCCAAGTTTGGCCACGCCTGCTCGGAGTGAACTTGACTTCAGCACAAAGTGCCAATTTTAAAATTTGTTGGGGGGTGTCGTGCTTGCGAAAGTGCCTGAACAAGTTCAGGTTCTTGCCATAAGCTCTTCACCCGCCCTCCAAATACCTGCTTGCAGCTCAGCCTCTTCAGAGATCTGGGGAATCTGTCACCCATCAACTGGACTATAGTTCCCAACATCCCTGGCCATTGGCCGTGCTTGCTGGGACTGATGGGTGCTCAGCAGCACCTGGTGGGTCCAACTCCCACCCCCCAAAAAAGAAACACCCCTGGGCTGAGGTCATGTGTTGGAGAGTAGCTGTTTTGGGGGCCTAAAGCCATCGAGGTTGTCAGCAAATTCCATTCCCAAGTGACGCCAAAGACTTGCTGGGAGACGTTTGCCCATTCCTAGCGCTGTGCTCACAAATTCAGACGTTTGGTAGAAACAGTGTAGGCAAGGCAATTCTTGTGTAATATTAATAATATTAATATTATTATTGGACTGGGTTGCCCCAGATTTCTTGACTTTGCATAGATTTCTTGACTAGGGTTTTTTCTGTTCAGCTCACTCTGGCCAACCAGGGCATTTTGCTGCTCTTTGGGACTTAGTTCAGAGGCTGCTTTGGGAAATGTGTGACGGTTCATCTCCATTAGCAGACTCTTAACAGCCCCAGGAAAAAAAGGATATTCCCCTCCTCAAGGTATTCATGGAGCAAAACCTCAGGTGCCATCTGTAAGCGTTTGCTTAGGAGGGAAACATTTCTCATTCCAGCAGCTCTTTTGCTTTTCAAACCTCAAGGTATCTTCCCAGGGGTAGAACTGTGTAGCTGTCCCTTTCAATTCACAAGCTAATTCTGATACCCCGTGAGGATATCTGGCTGGAATAATGGGTGTATCTCCTGTTCACAGATTGAGAAGGAAAACTACATGTTACACCGGTTTTTGAAGTCACACCAAAGTGCTGGCAATGTTTCAAGAGTGGCTGCAGATTGAGATAATAGCATTAAACCCTAGTTTAGTGTTACAGGGCCAAGCCTAGGGTCCCCACCCTGCCAGACTTGTGCTCTCCTCCTCCAATGTAGCTTTCACTGCAATTTAAATTAACCAGTTTAGCAGTGCTAACCTGTGGCTAATCTGATTGGAACAAGCCAGCTTCATAAACTGTGTTTTGAAGGAAACCTCATGTTGCGCTTTGCGGTAGGGAAAAGCACCCGAGCTGTTCTCTTGCAACAGTAAACTATGGTTTTTAGCATTGCATCAGGGCCCAGTCAGGGTGGCCATTTTGCGGGGGGCGATTCGTAAACATGTTAGTGTCGACACGTGAGATTTTGACAGCTGCTAAATTTTAAGAAAAAGGCCATATTGGCGTTGCGCATCAGGATATGCGCTCTCTCTCTTCCTCCCCCCCCATCCCAAGCTAATGTGTCACTAGGACACCCCCCCCGGCATCGATTGATCCCTGACTCGGGTGAAACAAGTCGTGTCTCGAACTCTGTGCTGCCCTCTTTCACCCACCAAAGGCAGATTAACACCCCCTCACCCACCCATTTTCTTTTCCGCTTAAGAGTTTTACAATGCACTGGGAGCACTTTATAATTTTTGTTTTGTAGGCGGGAGGAGGGCATTGTATTAAGGGCTAAGAGCTCCTTATTCAACATTTTGCACTGAACTGCGTCGACCGAAGCTGAACTTTCCCACTCATCGGAGCCACTGTCAGTTAGGACAGCAGGGTGGGGTTGTAGAACGGAGAAGTAGTGATGGCTGACGAGAGGTGGGCGCCCTTTTCGTTCTCGTGGACAGCTTCTTATTTAAATGGAGAAATCCTGCAATGTGCGAGAGTTCGCCCGTTCGTGGTTTGAGGGACGCCATTTTGCCAGCTGTCCCTTCAGCCCTCGGCTGGCTGCGCCTAATGAATGTACCCCACGCTTAAACCTCCTTCACTCTGAACTGTAATGCCATTCATGTTTTGAAAATAAAGGTTTGTTTTTATCTTGTGAGACAGGAGTTTTCAAAGGCTCGGCTTTGGGTTTTCTTGCTCTTCAACCTTTACAGCTTGCCCCAGCTTGTGGAAGGAGAGGGTTTAGGATTATTGCCCTCCTGACTGGCTCATGGCGACGGAGAGGAAAAATCTGGGGGGGGGGGGGGCGGGGAATGGAGAAATCTGCAGAAGCACCAAAACAAAAAAAACCTACATGAACACATGGACTACTGCAACGTGCTCTACGTGGGGCTACCTTTGAAGGTGACCCAGAAACTGCAGTTAATCCAGAATGCGGCAGCTAGACTGGTGACTGGGAGCGGCTGCCGAGACCACATCTGAGAGATCTGCATTGGCTCCCAGTACGTTTCCGAGCACAATTCAAAGTGTTGGTGCTGACCTTGAAAGCCCTAAATGGCCTCGGTCCTGTATACCTGAAGAAGCGTCTCCACCCCCCATCATTCAGCCTGGACATTGAGATCCAGCGCCGAGGGCCTTCTGGCGGTTCCCTCATTGCGAGAAGTGAGGTCACAGGGAACCAGGCAGAGGGCCTTCTTGGTAGTGGCGCCCGCCCTGTGGAACGCCCTCCCTTCAGATGTCAAAGAGATAAACAACTACCTGACATTCAGAAGACATCTTAAGGCAGCCCTGTTCAGGGAAGTTTTTAATATGTAACGCTGTACTGTTTTTAACACTTGATTGGCAGCCGCCCAGAGTGGCAGGGGAAACTCAGCCAGATGGGCGGGGTGTAAATAATAAATTATCATTATTGTCGTCGTTGTTGTTGTAAACAAAAGCTGGTAAATCTGTACCACAGACTCCTCTAGAGTGGTAGAGTATTTTGGGGGGGGGGCATGAAATGGAATTCTCAGCCATGGGTCACGGATGCTCCCCTCCCAAAGGCAGTGTGTTCACAATGCCTGATAATTTCAACAAAAATGCATGCTTTTTAAAAAAATAAATAAATTGCATGTACCTGAAAGATCAGCCTTTGTTAACCTGGTGCTCTCCAGCTGTTTTGGACTACAACTCCCATCAGCCACTGTGGCACAGACCAAAACAGCTGAAGAGGGGGTAGCAGATGGATGTAGAGGTTTTTCAGAGTGAGGGGAAATTAGCAGGATTGGGGAAAAGAGCTGGAGGCAGGATGAAGAATGTGCCAATTCCCACCTACCACGGGGGGGGGGGACCTTGGGTGTTGCTAGTTTCCAAGGGTCAGCTCTGAGAAACAGTGCGGTCTAGCGGTTAGCCTTTGACCTGGGAGAACAAGGTTCGAATCCCCACTCTGCCATGAAGTTCCCACTGGGCCAGCCTCTCAGCCTAGCCCTACCCCACAGGGTTTTTGTGGGGATTAAATGAGGCAGACCATGTCACCACCAAGAGCTCCTTTTGCAGGGGAAGGGGGGAGTTATTTGGGTGGTGGTTTTTATTTTGAGTGGGACGCAGGTGGCGCTGTGGGTTAAACCACAGAGCCTAGGACTTGCCGATCAAAAGGTCAGCGGTTCGAATCCCCGCGACGGGTGAGCTCCTGTTGCTCAGTCCCTGCTCTGCCAACCTAGCAGTTCAAAAGCACGTCAAAGTGCAAGTAGATAAATAGGCACCACTCTGGCGGGAAAGTAAACGGCATTTCTGTGTGTTGCTCTGGTTCGCCAGAAGCGGCTTAGTCATGCCAGCCACACGACCTGGAAGCTGTACACCAGCTCCCTCGGCCAATAAAGCGAGATGAGTGCCGCAACTCCAGAGTCGGCCACGACTGGACCTAATGGTCAGGGATCCCTTTACCTTTTATTCTGATTATGTACATTGTGGTTTTATATTCTGATTTTATCCTGTGAAGAGCCCCGAGACCTGAGGGTACAAGGCAGTACAGTGATACCTCGTGTTGAATGTGCGTCTGGTTGAGCGTTTTCAAGTTACGCTCCACAGCGACCCGGAAGTAACGGAGCGTGTTACATCCGGGTTTCACTGCTCGCGCATGTGCAGATGCTCAAAATGATGTCACACACATGCGCGGAAGTGGCAAATTGCGACCTGCACGGAGCGTTTGCCTCAGGATGCGAACGGGGCTCCGGAACGGATCCCGTTCGCATCCAGAGGTACCACTGTATATAAATTCAATAAATAATAATAACCATCTCTTCAAGGAAACGTACCAGTGTAGGAACATCATTTTGCCCACCCTTCGCAATCATAGTATTGTAGAGTTCAGAGGCACCCAAAGTCCACCCCTTTGCAACGCAAATTCAGGGGAATAAAATGAAAGAGAGTTCTGTTTCAGGTCTGCATGTCCCACTTCTGTATTCATGCACATTGTTGTTTTTATTTTTAAAACACCTGAGTCCCTTCCACATCACTTCCCCCTGCAGGTCACAGGACGTTGAGTACAGTTGCACAAATCATTGCTCAGAATTCCTTTCTGCTTTCTCAGGAGGAGTGGAGAGAAATTTTTTTTGGGGGGGTTGCCCTTCTCTGCTAACATTCACAGTAAAAAATCATTCGGGAGCCTCTCTCTTTTTCCTGAGACCAGCGTAGCAGTTCCAGAGTGCGAAGCGTTTTGTAAAATGAGGTAACATTAAGCAGAGAGAGAAGGGTTGGGCAGAGGAAACCCAAAAGGGCACTCTGACAGTTCAGGTTCAGTGCTGGGACCAAAAATACTAAGAACCACCTTCCTGGATCAGACCAATGACCCGTCATCCTGTTCACGCAGTGGCCAATCAGATGCCCGAAGGGGAAGTCTTTGTTGATTGGATAGTAGCCATTCCTAGCCTTCTCCTCCATAAACTTGCCTAATGGTCAGGGGTCCCTTTACCTTTACACTGTGCTCTAAGGGCAGTCTGCAACTGCGGATTATCAGCTTACCTGAAGCACAGGCCTGTGACCAGGGTACACTACAGAGCTCTTGTAAGGATTTCCCAAAAGAATAGGGGAGAAGATCTTTGACCCAGCAGAAGATCCCTGGGGAAGCAGAGCAAATTTCTGCCTAGCCCAGATCTGGCCTGTATCCAGGTGTGCTCAGATGGAGATATCTCCCTGGGGAGTGTGCTTCGTATACCCTACCTCCCTGAGGACTGTGCCATACAACATTGCAGAGCGAGGGATGGTTAACGTGGTGCCCCCTCCCGGCTGTTTTGGACTCCTGGTTCCTGGCAGTGCGGTCAATGGTTAGGTAGGATGGTGGGAGCAGTGGCCTAGCGTGGGTTGCCGGTGCCCGGGGCTGCGCAGAGACAGGGAAATGGACGGAATACGCATGCGCGTTCAGCTTCCTAACAGTGTGCATCACTGGTTTGCATGGACAAGCCATTTTCAACAGAGCCTGGTGATGGAACTGAGTGCTGAAATTTTGCTCCAAGGCAACCCCCCCTGTGGACCACCACCCTCTCCACGCTACACCACTGGGTGGGAATTCTAGTCCAAAACTCCCAAAGAGGAGTGCTACCCATTGCTTTAGAGCTAACTTGTGTTTGAGTTTAACTGCATTTATTTGGAGGGGGGGTCTTTTTAAAGGGCAGCTGCCGGCTCTCATCTAATTAAAACGAAATGGTTCAAAAGCAAGGGTTTCCCCCAGAAGCGGTATCTCCATTGCACCCCCTAAAACAGAGGCGGCACCGTACCGGGATCCTTGCAAAGAACCTCTGGGCTTGGGCCTGATCCAGAAAGGCACTTCATAGATCCTTAAATGAAAACTGCAGGCTGAGGATTACTTAACCGAGGTCAGATTTGCCTTCCACCATTGAGAGAGATTCGGTCACGTAAGACGCTGCATGGCAGATCACAAAGACGACAGGACAAGGAAGCCCTGGAAGATTAAGTCTTGCATCGGGAGTTGCGGCCAGTATAAAACTCGCAAGTTGGGGAAGCAAGGTTGCCGGTTTACAATCCCACGCTCCCCCTTCTTGCCAAGATCGGGGTGGGGTTGGGGGGGGCTAGCCTGGCCACGATTCAGCAACCATCAGCGGAGAACAGGAGTGCCAGTCTTTATCAGGAAACAGCTTCAGTGGAGAGGTCTCAGCAGGTTCCTGAAGTTTTCCAGTTCCTTAATACTTGTTGAAATCCTGAATTGGGAGACACAAGAGGGAAAGAGCGTGATCTTAGGTAGCTTTTGGACTCGAAACACAGGGGAAAGGCAGAGCCGCCTGCACCCTGCAGTTCCACAGAGGCACAAAAACCCGCCAGAATTAACTAGGTGTGAGCATTGCCCTTGAGCCAGTGCCACTAACTGGACTCATCCACTCAGCTAGGCGAGCTGGGTAGCACTTCCAGAGACCACCTTCTGCACAGGAACAGGTCAAAGTGCTGTGGACTCACAGCTTAGAGTTGAGAGCACCGGATTCACTTCCACAAGAAGACAGTCGCCGCACAGCAGAGTATAGCAGAGCATAAACGACTCGGAGAGCAGCTCTGTAGAATATCTTCTTTATTCTATAACTACAACTATTAGGTCCAGTCGTGACCGACTCTGGGGTTGCGGCGCTCATCTTGCTTTATTGGCCGAGGGAGCCGGCGTACAGCTTCCGGGTCATGTGGCCAGCATGACTAAGCCACTTCTGGCGAACCAGAGCAGCGCACAGAAACGCCGTTTACCTTCCCGCCGGAGCGGTACCTATTTATCTACTTGCACTTTGACGTGCTTTCGAACTGCTAGGTTGGCAGGAGCAGGGACCGAGCAACGGGAGCTCACCCTGTCATGGGGATTCGAACCACCAACCTTCTGATCGGCAAGTCCTAGGCTCTGTGGTTTAACCCACAGCGCCACCCACGTCCCTAATACACAACTATATACAGAGCTAAATAGGTCTAAGCATAAATGAATGCTGCACTGCACTGAGTGTCTGCAGCTGCTCTTAGCAGCAACCTTATCTATACACACGATCTCTAACACTCAGTCTCTCTCTCTCTCCGACACACTGACTGACTGACTCTTTGATGTGGTGCTGGAGCAGAATAAGTAGAGAGCAGAAAACCGCCCCCCCCTCTGGAAAATCACCAGACTCATCAGCAGATTCTTGGATATGGGAGGGG